CGCCCCCGGTACGCGGCATAAAGAACATACGTTTATTCCTAAAGAGAGGGGGCCGGTGCCAGGCCCACAGGGCCCGGGGGGCACACGCTGACCTTCGCCTTGATCATCTCCTCCCCTGGAGCGGGCTTTTGTGGGCGCGGGGCTCTTTCCAGAGACGGCAGCTGAAGGAGACAGCACACAGCCCGGCCTCGCAGGCAGCTGGAGGGCGGGGTGGGGGGTGTAGGGTGGAGCCGGGGAGGGGGAAGACGGTGAGTGATGGCCAGAGCCCTCCCCCGTACCCCCTTCCTTCACCGAGGCCAGGCATAGCGGGGCCCCCTGTTCCCCGCAGGCTGGATCCACCTGCCCTGTCCTCCCTCCCGGTCCTCCCTCCTGGGACTGCAAGCTTGGCCACCTGTCCGAGGCCCTGGCCTCCCACCTCTGGTTGTCCTGGCAACCGGTGCCCTCCCTCCAAGGCAGCCTGGGCTCGGGAGGGTGAGCGCTCTGCTCTGGTCACTGGTGACAGCTGGACAGGCAGGCAGGCCCGACCAGCCAAGTGTGAGCCGCGTCCTGTGCGGCTGACAGCTGCCGCCTGAGGCCCCGGACCTGAGCCCATGTCACAGGGGACCTCTGTCTGCTTCGCTCGTGGTGGCTGTGTGGGCAGCAGGATGCACCAGGGCCTCTCTCTGAGCTGGGCGTCCTGGGCACTGCAGGGTCCCCTCTGAGCTGGGCGTCCTGGGTGCTGCAGGGTTCCCTCTGAGCTGGGCGTCCTGGGTGCTGCAGGGCCCCCTCTGAGCTGGGCGTCCTGGGTGCTGCAGGGTCCCCTCTGAGCTGGGTGACCTGCGCTGCAGGGCCCCCTCTGAGCTGGGCTGACCTGGGCACTGCAGGGTCCCCTCTGAGCTGGGGTGACCTGGGCGCTGCAGGGTCCCCTCTGAGCTGGGCTGACCTGGGCACTGCAGGGTCCCCTCTGAGCTGGGGCGTCCTGGGCGCTGCAGCGTGTTGGCCGTCTTGGTCTCTACACATGAGATGCCAGCAGCAGCGTCTCCTCCCCATGTACAACCAGCGCTGTCTCCAGGCCCTGCCACACGTCCCCCGAGGGCGGGATTGTCCCCTGAGGAGCTCTGCGCTCCGAGGAGCTGCCTCCATGCACGGCGTCCTCAGGACCCTCCACCCGCAGGAGAGGGAGCGCGGGAAAGAGATGACCCCGGCAACCACTGCCCTTTCCCCCTGGGACATGGGTGCCGAGATCTTCCTGGAACACACACATATACGCACATGTGCACATACACACAGAGACACATTCACACACGCACACACGTGTGTGCACACACATGCACACAAACACACGCACACATGCACACAGACACACACATGCACACAGACACATGCACACACACGCACACAAACACGCACACAGATACACATCCACACACACATTCACACACACATGCACACACACATGCACACAGACACACACATGCACACAGACACACACGTTCACACACATGCACACAGACACACACGTTCACACACATGCACACAGACACACACGTTCACACACATGCACACAGACACACACGTTCACACACATGCACACAGACACACACATTCACACACATGCACACACACACGCTCTGAGGCAACCCCCTGCTGCTCTTTTTTTAAAAATAGACTCAGAGCTGCAGTGTGGCACCTTCCACCCTCTCTGCTTCGCCCTCACGTGGCCTTTTCCTCATGCTGACCCCCCTGCATCCACCTTATAAGGCCCCTGGGTAATGGGCACCTCGCAGTCCTTAACATAGTCCCATGGCAAAGTCCCTCCGCTTTGTAAGGCCACGGAGTCTATGGACTAGGACGTGGACATCCTGGGGCAGGCGGGGGGGCGGGGCACTGTGCAGCTGCCACGGGGACCCTAACAGAAGGAGGAAACAGCGCCTGTGGTTCCCAGGACAGATGCTGGGAAGGAATGTTAGGGCCCAAAGCATTCGTTCACTCACCCATTCAGTCACCTACTTACTGTGAGCTCACCAGGGCCCCGGGCCAGGTGCCCTGCGGGGAGCTGGGGAGGTGGGCGGGCCTGGGGTGAGCCCTCAGAGAGCGCCAAGGACAGGAATCCAGCAACACAGACGCACACACACGCCTCCCACTGATCACGCTCAGAGGGGACGGGCCAGCACGGGCCACGGGAGCCTGACTGGGTGGCAGGAGGGACGCTCCCGTCCTTGGCCTCCAGCCGCTCCTCTGGGGCTTCCCCCCGAGAGGCACCCGGCCAGGAACCCCCGGGACTGTGCGTAGGGGTCGTTCACCTTCGTTGCCTCGAGTGTTGCATCCGCTCAGGTCAGGTGGAGCCTCCT